CAAAAGTTTTGTCTATTTCCCAATCAACTACAAGTTTGCTGTAAGATGTAGCCTAAAGCGGCTACCGTAAGTTCTTGGGGTTTACGCTAACATGAAGGCATATCGCAGAACTGCATCAGATTATAGATTTTCGGCACTGATCAATACAACCATTTTTGGTGTTCTTTTTTATGAATGATTCTAAATACACGCAATGCATTTTGAAGCGCCAGTGCAACCACCTTCACTACGAAAACACGGCATAAACTAATTTCGCTAACAAATGAATGGTACTTACTTAGTAACTTTGGCCTTCTGAAAAAGAGGGTACCACTAGGCTGCCTCAAAACACTGATTTCAAATTTGCTTTCCACACTATTTGCAGTTTCAAAAAAGTTGTGGAAGTTTCTTTCCGCGAAAATAGCGCAAGAAATCTTCCATTAGCTGCTCAAAAACTCCAAAAATTACCCAAAGAAGTAAGCAACAGCTTCGTAACCTGTTTTCTAAAACAGCTACTTTTGCATTATTCGTTTAGACGAGCTTCTAGTATTTGAGCACTTCGGGTGAAGAAGCTTCCATCACTTTTTTTAGATACTTGTTTAGCCAAGAAGTTAAATTTAATTACATTTGAGGCGCATCTAAAGGTATTTTTTTTTGTTTTGAATAAATCGTTTCTGAGCTATCCCCCCTTAGTAAAGATGGATGTTCGAGGAATGGTTTCTCAGATCAGCCAGCCAATTGCAAAAAGCTCTCCAGCTGGGTTAGGCGACTTGCAAGTAGCTGGCCAGTAGAGCGGAATTGGCGAATTTTGGCTTGCTTTCATCGCTCATCATCGCAGTCAGATATGACTTCTAGTATCGTAGGCTCCTCATACCCACGGTATCTCCATGCTTCATAAGGATCGGCCGATTTAGCGGCCAACCCTTTAACGCTTACATGCGCAATAAGAATCGGTCGATCGAGGATGCGCGGCAGTTGCGTTGCGGCTCCCTGTTGAGTACCGATTTGGCGCAATTCGGCTCTATAGGCCTACCACACTGTTTTCTTTCGACTTTGACTTGCTTTCTTTCTTCAAATTAGAGTTCTCAGAAGTTGTCAGCAAGTATGCCGGAAAGATGAGTACCAACCCCAGGCAAAATGGTATTTGATTGTG